ATTTAGATCTTAAACCCATTTCAGTTTTAGTTTAGTGCATGGTGAGAGATATAGGTCTAGTTTTAATCTTTGGGAAGTTGATACCCAATTTTTCCAGCACCATTTATTAAAGAGGCTATCTTTCATCCAGTGAGGGTGTATGGCTCCTTTGTCAAAATGAAGTGGCTGAGTGTGTCTGGAGTTGTTTCTGCATCTTCCCATCTGTTCCACTGGTCCTCAGGTCTGTTTCTTTGCCAGTACCATGCTGTTTTTATCACAGTAGCTTCGTAGCATAGTTTCAAGATGGGGGTTGTGATACTCCCTGTCATGTATCTGTTGCCTAGAATTTCTTTCGCTATTCGAGGTCTTTTTTTGTTCCAAATGAATGTTTGGATTGTTTTCTCAAGGTCTGTGAAGTATACTGCTGGGATTTCAATTGGGATTCCATTGAATCTATATACCAGTTTTGGAAGTATGGCCATTTTTACTATGTTGATCCTTCCTACCCAGTAGCAAGGGATGTCTTTCCATTTTCTGATACCATCCTCAATCTCCCTTTTCAGAGTGCTATAGTTTTCGGAGAAGAGGTCTTTGATTTCTTTTGTTAAGTTGTTTCCTAGGTATTTCAGTTTTTTGGATGCTATTTTGAAAGGAAGTATTTCCCCTAATTCTCAGTGAGTCTGTTGTTCATGTAGAGGAAAGCTATTCATTTTTTTCCGTTGACCTTGTATTTAGTTACTTCACTGAATTTGGTTATTAAGTCTAGAAGACTTTTGGAGTTCTTGGGGTCTTTTATATACAGTATCATGTCATCATCATAATGACAGTTTGACTTATTTCCAGTCTTTATTCCTTTTATTTCTTTCTCGTCTAATTGTTGTAGCTAATGTTTCCAGAAGTATACCAAACAGGAGTGGTGATAGTGAACATTCTTGCCTTGTTCCTGATTTTAGTGTGAAGGATTTCAGTTTTTGACCATTTAGTATGATATTGGCTGTTGGTTTTTCATAGATGGCATTTATCAGATTGTGGTAGAGACTGTCTGTTTCAATTTTGTGTGGGGTTTTTATCATAAATGCATGTTGGATTTTGTCAAATGCTTTTTCTGGATCTATTGAGATGATCATATGGTTTTTATCCTTGGCCCTATTGATATAGTGTATTACATTGATTGATTTGCGTATGTTGAACCATCCCTGCATCCCTGGGATAAATCCCACTTGTTAAGGGTGTATGATCTTCTTGATGATGCTTTGCATTCTATTTGCCAGTATCTTATTAAGGATTTCTGCATCTGTATTCATTAGTGAGGTTGGCCTATAATTCTCTTTTTCAGTTGGGTCTTTCCCTGCTTTGAGGATCAAGGTGATGCTTGCTTCCAGGAATGAATTTGGGAGTATTGCTTCCCTTTCAATTTCATTGAAGAGTTTTAAATAGTAGTGGCAGTAGTTCCTCTCTAAATGTCTTGTAGAATTCAGTGGTGAAGCCATCTTACCAACTTAGTAGGTAAGTTTTTAATTACGTTTTCAATTTCATTGATTGATTTTGGCTTTTTAGAATTTTTAGGTCTTCTTCATTCAACTTTGATAATTCATATGTATCTAGGAATCTATTCATTTCTTCTGTGTTTTCCATCTTATTTGTGTATTGGTTCTCAAAGTAGGTATTGATGAGTCTCTGGACTTCTCCTGGGTACAGTGTAATGTCATTCTTTTCATTTCTGATTGCATGGATTTGGGCCTTTTTCCTTTTTCTGATAAGGTTGGCTAAGGGTTTGTCAATTTTGTTTACTCTTCTGAAGAACCAGCTCTTGGCTTCATTGGTTTTTTTGTATTGGTCTCTTAGTCTTCATTGCATTGATTTCTCCTCTGATCTTTATAATTTCCTCCCTTGTATGAGCTTTGGGTTTGTCCTGCTCTTGTTTTTCTAGAAACCTGAGATTCAGCTTCGGTCGTTTAATTGGGCTCACTCTGTTTTCCTAATATGAGTATTCACTGCTATGAATTTCCCTCGTAAGACTGGTTTCATTGTGTGCCATAGATTTTTATATGTTGTATTGTCATTGTCATTTAATTGTAGGAACTGTCTGATTTCTTCTTTAATTTCCACTGTGACCCATTGGTTATTCAGAAGTGTGTTGTTCAATTTCCATATGTTTATTAAATTCTTGCAGTTTCTTTTCTGTTGATCTCCAATTTCATCGCACTATGTTCTGATAATTTACAGGGGATAACTTCAGTACCTTTGCACTTATTTCTGAGAGCGAGTATATGGTCTATTTTGGAGAACAGCCCATGTGCAGCTGAAAAGAATGTGTATTCTGATTTTGTGAGGTGAAACACTCTGTAAACGTCTGTTAAGTTCATTTGTGCAAGAGTTTGATTGAGTTCTAGTATTTCATTACTTATTTTTTGTCTAGTTGATCTATCTATTTGTGACAGTGGAGTATTGAGGTCCCCCACTACTGTTGTTTTGCTGCTTATTTGATTTTTCATGTCTGTTAGTATGTGTTTTATATAGTTGGGCACACTAGTGTTTGGTGCATATATGTTTATGATTGTCATCTCTTCCTCTTGAATGGTTCCCTTTATAAGGATGTAGTGTCCTTTGTCTCTCTTAATCAGTGTGGGTTTGAAATCCACTTGATCTGCAAAGTGGATAGCTACTTCTGCTTTTTTTCGGGTTCCTGTCACATGGAGTATTGTTTTCCACCCTTTACCTTTCAGTCTATGAATTTCTTTTTGAACTAAGTGTGTTTCTTGTATGCAACATATTGTTGGATCTTGCTTCTTCACCCATTCTGCCAGTCTATTTCTTTTTTTTTTTTCTGCCAGTCTATTTCTTATGATTGGTGAGTTGAGACCATTAACATTGATGGTTATAACTGATACATATTGACTTATCATTGTCATGAGTTTTTCTTTTTGTTGGATTTTCCCGCTTTGTGTTTAATTTCTTGTCACGCCCAGTGGATTCGTTCTGCTTGGCTTTCTGTGGTTGTGATCCTCATTGTCTTTTCCTAGTATATTGTCTAAAATTTTTCAGAGTGCTGGTTTGGTATTCATGATGTTCCTAAGGTGCTCTTTGTCATGAAAGTATCTTATTTCTCCATCAATTTTCAAAGATAGTTTTGCAGGGTACATCAGTCTGGATTGGAGGCTGTTTTCCTTTAGGGCTTGAAATACACCACTCCAAGCTCTTCTTGCCTTGAGGGTTTGCATTGAGAAGTCTGCTGTGATTCTGATGGGCTTTCCTTTGTATGTGATTTGTTTCTTTTCTCTTACTGCTTGTAGAACTTTGTTCTTCTGTTGGGTTTCTGGAATTTTAACAATTATATGCCTCTGTGTAGATTTTTTTTGATCAAGGCTAGTTGGAGTCCTATATGCCTCCCTTATCTGTATGTCAAGTTCTTTTCCCCTGCTTGGGAAGTTTTTTGCCTTCACTTCTGTGAACAAATTTTTTGTGGTCTGAACTCTCTCCTGTTTCTTCATTGACTCTGATCGGTCTTATGTTATTCTTCTTTGGATCATCTAGCAGCTGCTGGATTGATTTTTCACGGTCTCTTCCTATTTTAAAGAAATTTTTCTTTTCCTGGTCACTAATTGCCATACTATCTTCTATATGTGAAATTCTGTCCTCACATTAGCTCATTCTGCTGTGTAAAGGTTCAATGGAATTTTCAATCTCCTGGAAATCTGTTTGGATGTGTTTTATGGAGTCCATTTGTTTCCTGTTTGTTTCCTGTGTTGGGATTCCATCATGTTCCTCAGCTCCTCTGCTTTTTTTATCTGTGTCCTCTCTAGATTTATTAATCATGTCTTATACTAAGGGCACACACTCTGCTGTTATCTGAGAAATTATTTCTGATTTCATTTTTTCCAGATCCTCTTTCGTTGCCAGTTCAGGGAGTCCAGGTGTTTGAGTATCAGATTGTTCCATCTCATTTCCCTTTGGGTTTTTTTAGTTGATCTGTGAGTCTGGTTTTGAGACTTGTTTAAGTGTCTTCTCCTTTTATTGCGGGTCCGGGAGGAGCCGCACTTCCTTGGCCCTGGGCCGGTGGTATGGCTGCCTGGAAGGTTCACCTCCTCTGCGTTGGGGGCTGCTCTGCTCCTCATCTCTGGAGGCAGTGGTACGGTAACCCGGAACGTTCACTGCATAAACATAATTTTGAAACCACCCACTTAAGACATTTGTACCCCAAAGTGTGCAGACAGCTTCTGTGAAGGTTGGGATGCAACAAGGAAGGCCACCTTTGGGGCTCTGGGTAGCAAACAGGGCACTGGTCCCCATCCCATCAGCGAGGCTGGAGGGTGCAGGATACGTGCTTGGAAACTGGCTTTGCCTCAGTACTCAGCTGCAGATGAGTATTTATTTGAAAATAGTTTCTACAGGCCTCGATGTGGGTCGTAAGCCTCAGAGTTCAGCCATCCATGGGAAATCTTCAACTACCCAGCAGCCCAGGGAGGACACATGTCTGTTAGTTTGAACTTCGTGCCATCTGGCCTATTAGGCCAGTGGAAGTAGCCCTCCTCCAAAAAATTTTTAAAATAAAGCCAAGGAAGCAGGGAGGTAAGGGTGAGTAGACACCACATCCCATCCAAGCACAGAGAATGGGGAAGACAGTGACAGAGGGATATTCTGAGATCCTTTGGTAAGGGCAAATGGGCGGTCAGTTGGTGGATGAGCATTGAGAAAACCCAAGGGCAGTAGAAGATTGGAGAACTGTACAAAAAGGATTCAGAGCTATTCCACCAAGCTCAGTTTAATCTTTAACATTTGCTCATTTCATAAAGGCAATGTTAATGTCCCTGTTACACAGATGAGAATACTAACTTTCAAAAGAGGGCAAATGACTCAAGCAAGTTTACATCAGCCTAATGATTGAGCTGATACTCAGATTTAAATGTAATTTTTTTCTTATTGTACCAGAGATAGAAACCTTAGTGTTTAATGTTTGTTCTGCTAATAAAAGAATATCATCTTAATCATTATATTTTGCTTTGTTGAAACATTTGATTCAGCATGATCCCACCTTTCCACTGATAGATTCAAGTTCCCAGGACCAGATTAGAAAACACATCGTACTCGAAAAATTGAGTAAAGTGTAAGTATGTGATGATTATTCCAACTTTATAATATTCTAAGATTAACTTGATATTTATGAGTTTATAATTGATAAATGTTATCCTTGAATTTTGAACATTTTGAAAAATGTTGATTTCCTTACCAGTAAAATTTAGATTTTTACCATATTATATCTAGGAAATACAAGATTTTGTGTAGAAGACACAGAGGAACACTGTAAAGAGAAATGTTGAGATTATAGGAGTAGCAAGCCAAACTACTGTACCTCACTCGCACTTGTAATCCAGTGAAGTCAGGGAAAAAAATATCAAAGCCAGACCATTTAAATACTGATTTGTGGTAAATGTGTCACATCAGTTTCATGAGTGAATAAGAAGCTCTTAACAAGTTTTAACAGTTTGTTAAGTAACTCTGCCAACATATTTATAAAACTGTTTCACACTCAACAACTTGAATTTTTGTTCAGGTCATCTCTGCACTTTAGCTTTAAGCTTCCTGTGTTAGAAGTAATTGTTCTTGTAACTTAGCCCACTTATAAATGACATGTGACAATTACTATTTTGGTTTTTCTATTGAAAGGAACTTGAACTTTTTTTCCAGAAGTATGGGGGCTATCTTAAAGTTTTCAGTCTGCATTTTTTTAAGTAGTTGTAAATATGCAAAAGTCTTAATTTTGTAGCAGTTTGAAAATAACATTTTCTGAGGCCATAATATATTTTGATCAAAGTGTAATGATGAGAGGTATGAATATTTTACTTTAAAATAGTATTTTTAAGCCATATTTGAAATCCTTTTTGATTTGCTTTGTATCTTGATTTGGTCCTATAATAAAAACTGAATGAAGAAGAGCTACTGTAATTTTTTTTTTTTGGTACTGGGAATCGAACTCAGAACCTTGTGCTTGCAAGGCAGGCTTGGTCCTACTGAGCTAAATTCCCAGCCCTGTAATTTTTACATTTTGAATAAATGTTTAAATTAATATTCCCTGAGTACTTACTGTAGGTTATACTCTTCATATAAAATATGTTATGATGTTTTGTCTTTGATCTGATCTTTGTACTTATACATTTGTTTCTGTGAAATATTCAGTTAGAAAACAGTATTAAGTCACCACCAATCTGATCCTTAATACAAGAAGGTTTCAGACTTGACTTTAGCTTTTGAAAGCTAGAATGGATCATCCATACTGGTATGTATTGAGTATAGATGTGAATTTTTGTGGAGATAGTTTTTAGACTTTTTTAGCTAATGAAGGTATCCAGTTTTAGATTTGAGACCATACAGGCATAGGCATGTCATTGAAACAATCTGCCCCTTCTGGGTCTTGGCTAAAACAAGACTATACCAAAAGGAACCTCTAAGAAAACCGTATTATTGATAATGTCACAAGCACTGTATTTGAGAAGGGATGGAATACCTTAAAGAAAAGAAAGAACAAAAGCAGTGAAAAAACGAATTACGGAGACATGGGGAATTTTTTTGTTCTTTATAAAAGCATTTGGAACCAGGCATGGTGTAGTGCATGCCTGTAATTGCTGCAAGTTTTGAACTCAGCTTGGGCTACATAGTGAGTTCAAGGCCAGCCCGGAATACACAGTGAAACTCTGTCTCAAAAAAACCAAAAACGTAAAAAAATAAAAGCAGTTGGACTTCTTTTAAAGATTTTTTGGTCACTGATTTGAACAAACCAATTGTGAAAAGTCTTTTAACAGAGGAAATTAAATATGTACTGGATACTAGGTTATATTAAGGAATTCTTTGGTTAGATATAATTTTTTGTGGTTATATAATAAATTACTTTTTTTTTGGTAACGGGGATCGAACTCGGATCCTTGCGCTTGCGCAGCAGGTGGCAAATAAATTACATTTTTATTTAGAGATACAAAATTAAAATAGGCATCAGGGATTTACTTTACTTTAAAATATTACTCCAAGTAAAAAGAAAAGAAAAATGAAGTAAATATAGCAAAATATTGAAATGTTGAATCTGGAAATAAATACTATTAATTTTGGAACATGTCTGAAACTTCCATAATTTTTTGACATATTTTTTAAAAGATTATATATGGTTGTTCGTGAAGATTTAGCGATTCAAAAATGGAGAATGAAGTGGACATCATCTGTAATAGCACCACTCAGTGATAATTACAATCAATATTTTGATGTTTATCCCTGACATATATATGATTTAAGTATATTCATTCTCTTTGGTTCTCTCTGATACAGGAACAAATCTAGATGTAATGAAATATGTTTGCTATGTAATATATATTAAAACACTATATATTTTTATAAAAATCAGATAATACTATGTATGCATTTTTCACTTGGCATTTATCACATCTTTTCACATTTTTTTTTGTTTTATTTTTTTGGTGCCAGGGATCAAACTCATGACCTTGCCGCCTACAAGGCAGGTGTGTTGCCACTGAGCTAAGTCCCTGGCCCATATCTTTCCACATTTTAAAAGACAGATTCACATTATTTTAAAGGTTTTTATTTTATTAAATGTCTAAATCATAACTTATTTAACCAATGACCTATTGATATGTTTTCCAATTTTTCCCCACTGAAAAGATTTCTACAACAAGCATTCATATTCTCACCCATCCCTGGGCCTTTTTTTAATTTTTTGGTATCTGCCCCTTTTTAATTTAAATTTGAGAAGGTTTTCCTAAGTTGTCCAGGCTGGATTGAAACTTGAAATTCTCCTGAGTCAGCCATCCAAGTAGGAGGGATTACAGGTATGTACCTACCACTATGCCCAACAGCAAGCATCTAACTTGAGTAATGTTTATCTGATTATTTCCTTAGGACAAATTATTTTTCATAGTAAAACTATTGAATCAAATGTATCCACAATTTAAATGTTTATATATTATCAAATTGCTCTTCAGATAAGAAAAACTCTGATAAAAATACAGATAGCTGGGGCTGAGGATTTAGCTCAGTGGTTTCGTCGCCTGCCTCACAAGCATAAGGTCCGGAGTTCGATCCCCAGTACCAAAAAACAAAACAAAACAGCAAAAAACAGTAAAAATACAGATAGCAGCCAGAATGATTTTGCATTTCACTGCTTTCTGCTTTAACAGAGTACAAAGTACAATGTAGCTTTACTATAAAATATTTCCTTAAGACTTCTAACTAGTAATAATTTAGCTTCACTGTTTATTTAAAATCATGCTGCTTCCACTTAAGTACCATTATTGCCTATGAGAAATCCAGAGATAAGCTTAACCCAAAAAAAGCTTGTGTATAATTAAATCGTATTTTAAAAGAAGTGTAATTTTTTTTTTAATTTTCAGATTGCCTGGACTTTTGGGTCCTCTTCAGATTACTTTAGGAGATATTTACACTCAACTTAAAAATCTTGTCCGAACTTTCAGGTTAGTTAACATTTTGATTTTTCCTTCTCAGTTACAGTATTTTGATTTTAGCAATAGCCTTGAAGAATCCAAGAGCAGACTGAAGCATGAAGAAAGTAAGTGATTTATCTTCAGGATCTTACATCTAAATACAGTGCTCTTTTCTCTTTCCCTAAACATTACTTCTTGTCTTCTATTAAATACAACTTCTTATTTGCTCAAACTTCTGTATATTTCATTTTGGATAGTTTATTTATAGAATAGCCTAAAGTTAAGGACAATTATATTTATGATACAAAAGCAAGTAACATTGTAGATTTAAGCAAAATAAATACACAGTGGTACCTCAGTTCATGAACTTAATTCTTTCCATGTTTCTGGCCGTAGAATTTGTTCCACAATGCTGGTTGCAACTGGATTGCAACCATACATTAGAATTAAGTTCATGAACCAAGGTACCACTGTATGTCAAATGACTGCCACTGTGCTGCTAGGCAATGTGAGCAGTATAAAAGAAGCATAATGCCAACTCTCAAGGAAGAACTCTCTGTGAAAAGGTGAGTACAATGAACAATAAGATCCAATGTTTCCCCTCTACCCCACACCACATTACCTTCCTTCTATATTACTCTTTTCCTTTACAACTTTTCCATGGGGCATTAAGTTTACTCCTTTACTCAGCAAATGTTTATCCATTTCCTACTGCATGCTAGGCCCTGCACAGACACTGGGATATAATCCATGCTTTGAGCATTTTACTATCTATTGAGGAAGATATTAAGCACATGTAAATGGTCACATACTTGGAATTTGTTTTTTTTCCTTTTTTTTTTTCCCCATTAACTTTATTGGCACATTTTAGGTATAAAATAGTTACATTCATCATTGGGATCTTGTACCATTACATGAGTCTCTTGGTTCTTATTTTTTTCCCCCTTCCCTTGCCCTCCCTTCACCCCCTCCACCCTTCCCTATTTGGAAAGAACTTGTTTCCATTTTTTTCCTCTTCTAA